CTGCGCTTCATGGCTACTCTAAGTCTAACAACACACCTCGAGAGATACAGCCAGATGCCTTCGAAGGCAACTTGTTTTTGGAGTCTTGCCATGTCATGCCACATGCAGTCTGTCGTCACAAAGGCACGTCGCATACGGTAAAGAAAAAAGGAAGGCAGCCAAATGCAGCCGAGGTGCAGTATGTATACGAGTAAAGACCAAGACGATAGGAAATACTTAGGAAAACTATTTACGGTGCTTATAAGCAATCCAGCTGCTTATAAGCACGAAGTTGCTTATAAGCAGGAGGATTGCTTATAAGCAGCCAGGGTGCTTATAAGCAAGGCGACCAAAACGCAACATAAACATACATAAACTAGGCAGTAGCCTTACAAAGCAAAAACGTGTACCATCCATCCCCAAATCCCTAAAGAATACACGTAATAGCCCATAAAGCGAGGTGGAGGTAGTTCAGCCGCGTAACCTGAGGCGAAGCCAAAAAAAACAAAGAAAAAACAAAGATTTCCGAACTAGTCTGAAGGATTTGGACTAGGGTAGAAATCTTTGTTTTTTTTGTTTTTTTGTTTTTTTTTGGGGTTTCTTGAGCTGGGTTAGGGACTGCTACAGGCTTTCTACAGGGCCTCCCTATGGAACCTGAGTGTTGCGGAAGGGTTTACCATGGGGCCCAGGGAACCTCACTGTTCAGGAAAGGCTTGCCCTGGAGACCTGATAACAACGACAATTGGTGAGCATAACCGACACCTAAAACCATTTCAACCAAACAAATGGGCTAAAATAGTGGGTATTCAGAAACCCAGGCCCCATGACAGTCCCTTCTGTACTGTTACAAGGCCCTGGCTCTCTGAGGCGCGTGCAGAATTCTGTGCGATTGCGCGCCGCCTCACCACTCCCAGAACCTGTTGGAATTATTGGTCCAGCGCTTGGACCAGGTATCTGGAGACTTCCAGCCGCTCCCCCAGTTAGACTCAAAGGCCTCCTGGCCATGATTCTTCCAGTTGTCCCACTTCCCGCCACTGTGGGAACTCTCAACCTTACTGTTGTTGTTGCACGAGTGGTGCCTGTTGCCACTTCTTTGTGGATAGCGGACCGGCGCCGGCTTGCGCCTGGGGCGGCCCAGCTCCTCCGCTAGCTCCTGCAGGAAAGGCTCCATTCGGAAATCAATCGTGTCAGGAGGCAGGTCCAAAGATCGCAAAAGCTGCTCGCGGTTGAAAGAGACCTTTCCGTTCGAATACACCATTTTAATTGCAGTAGCCTGCGACATCTCAGGATCTTTTGGCGGCGGCACTTTGAGAGAACTCGTACCTGCTGCTGAGTCATAGGCTTCAGGCTCTTTTTGTGCAGGCACCTTCACTGGAGCTGCTTTGATACGAGCTTGGATCTGAGCCTTCAGCTCGATAACTTGCTGTTTCAAAGACGCCAACTTCTACTCTTGTTCATTGCTGGCTTTTTGTAACTCAGCGATGTGGTTGCGCTGCTGCTCCTGCTTGCGCGGGCGAACCACCATCACTTCCTTTATACCGTCCATGCATCCTGCAATGCGCGCAGGCGCATCGCTAGCGTCCAACTCGCCCGACATTGAGATTTTTTAAGACAAGCTTGGAGCCAGGGCTGCGTCGAGCGTTGCTTGGCCAAAGAACACACATGAGCTAAAAGCACCAAAGTCATAAACCCTGCCTTACAGCACACCAAGCAGCAACAATGGCGTGACATCACACAATCTTTGCAAATTTCTGTGAACCTCTTCAAACAGCCTAGTCAGCCAAAGAAACCTGATACCCGCTGAGCCAGGGGCTCCGCACCAATGATAGAGGGACCCGCTATGGTGTAAAATAACATTGCAGGAAAGACCATGCTCGCTATATAACCCCTATATATTTATAACTCCCTATATTCTGACCCCATATTACCCTACATAGTCAGTTCATACCCACAGGCACGAGAAACTGACACCGACGTTACTCAACAGGCTCAATGCCTCTCCTGATACTCAACTAGGGAATAAGGGTTTGGGCTTAGGGGTAGTAATCAGGCCGGAATTGAAATATCCCCGAGCACGAAAAGCATACTGTAGATCGTGTACCCTTGCTACCGTATTTTGCTCTAAAGCGGTTGAACGAGTGCTCCTGGCGGGCACAGTGCACGTATGACAAACCAGGAGCAACATCATGTAAGTAATCACTTATAATGCCCTATCAGAACAAAATTAGTCTGCCCCCCTCTCTATGTCACTCTCTTTACACTCAAGCTAGCAGTCCCGAACAATCGCATTGCCCGCGTTGATGTTGAGGATGACGTCAACCTTGAATCAGGCAGAGTCAGAAAGCTCCATCCCCTCCATTTTTGAGATCCGGGATGCCATCAATTCTGATCGTGACTCTTTGGAGTCCGGCACGCTTACGAGTGTTGCATGATCACGGAGCTCGCACAGCTGGGTCCGTGCTTCAGAATGCATATGACAGAAGAATGGAAGGGTAAAGGTTCCAGTCTAAACTTCCAGTCAGTGAACGCCTGTCAGTGAACGCCTCAACCTAAACCATGATCAGAAAGGATCCGATGCTTTGACCTTCCAATCAGCATACCTTCGGCTTGCAAGAAATCAAGGGATGGATCCATACAGTGGATCTTATGTAACCCCCACTGATCTAATACTGTCCATGTTCTTTTCCATTCCTCCATTCCCTACTAAGTAGAGGCAAGTAATCCTGGTTTCCGTGTCATGTTCTATTGCTTTTCCATTTGATTGTCCAGTATAGTGATTTCCATGCGCTTTTCCATTCCCACCCTGCACCCTAAACCCTAAACCTGAAATGAAGTTCCCATGTTCTTTTCCATTATCCCTATACTACCCCAACCCTTAACCCTTAACCCTTAACCCTATACCTATATAACCTCATTATAGTAGTTTCCATGGTCTTTCCGTTATCCCGATACTACCCCAACCCTAAACCCTAATGCCTAAACCCTATACCTACATAACCCCATTATAGTAGTTTCCATTTTGTTCTCCATTATCCCTATACTACCCCAACCCGAAACCCTAAACCCTATACCTATAGTATAACTTGGGTACTGCCCCCCCCCCTCAGTAACAGGTGGATAATAATTAAAATATGGTAATATAGAGCCCTTAATAGGACCCCTAAGAAGACTGTTACTGGGGCGGGGGCAGTACCCAAATTATAACCCCATTATAGTAGTTTCCATGTTCTTTTCCATCATCCCTATGTAACCCCAATATATACCCCCGTAAACCCCAGTTTCCATGTCATTTCCCATGTTCTTTTCCATTTGATTCTCCATTATTTGGGTATATACAACCCCCACATAAAACCCTAAACCCTAAACCCCCATATAAAACCCTAAACCCTAAACCCCCACATAAAACCCTAAACCCTAAACCCCCATATAGAACCCTAAACCCTAAACCCCCACATAAAAGCCTAAAACCTACACCCTATATAAAACCCTACTAAAGCCTAAACCCCTAAACCCTAAACCCTACAAACAACCAGCAAATTAGCTAAGCTGCCACAGCCTTGGGCGGGCTTCTCACAGCCTGTCAGGTTAAATCTCTGCAAAAAGTTTGGGCTTTGGGTTATTGGGGCTATATAGGGGTTATATAGGGTTATTGGGGCTTATGTAGGGGGTTATTATTAGGGACAACGGAACATAAAATGCAGACAACTATTTAAGGTTTAGGGTTTTGAGGTTTTAGGTTTTAAGGTCCAAGCAACACTCCCACCAACTAGGGCTATTTTCCTATCATGCTACTATTGCTGGGTCGGGGCCTACCCTATATGACCCCCTGTATAAGCCCCAATAACCCTATATAACCCCTATATAGCCCCGATAACCCTATGTAACCCCCTTATAGTAGCCCCAATAACCCAAAGCCCAAACTTTTTGCAGAGTTCTAGCGTTTAAGCGTTTAGCTCGCAGAGTTGGTCATTATCAGACTGCAGGGTTTTTTGGGCTTATAGTTCCCCTTAAGTAGATAGAATATTAGGGTTTTATAGGGGTTATATAGAGATAATGGACAAGAAAATGGAAGCTACTATTTAGGGTTTAGGGTTTAGGGTATAGTCCCCCTTAAGTAGATAGACTATGGGGCACATAGGGGGTCTTATCATAATATACCCGAAGCCATATTCTATCTACTTAAGAGGGGCTATAGGGATTACAGTCTTTGCGCTTGTTAGCGATGTAGGGAGTCTTGGCTTGAGGACTTGGGACAAGGGCCTTCGGAGTAGGATTGCTACATGCAAACTTGGTAGATAGCCGCTGTAGAAAATGGCAAGCCGGCAAACCCTTTCCCAACGAATAATTGGGGTGCGCGTTCCAGCAGCCCAAATACCTGATAAAAAGCAAGACCTGTAGATCAAGCTCTCCGTTTGACTTGCCACGGGCTGTGTCAGAACGAAATACATCCTGCGCGAAAATTTAAGAAGTCCACTGCAGGGCTGATGCCTATGCGCAAGGAAGAGGAGTATCTTAAATGCATATCATTCCAGGTGCATGACTGCTCATCTTGCCTACCGTAAGCTCTGTCGTTCACAGAGAGCTGCTACCCCAGGACTCGGAAGCTTCTTTCAGAGTTGACCCAGCAGTCAGGACTTTCAGGAGAGCAGGCTGATATCATTCCTCCAGGCTCCCTGCGCAACTTAGCATCAAACACCCACAAAGAAAGTACTCCCACTCTGTTTAGCCCTGAAATATGTAGAATCATCCTAGAATCATAGAATCAGCCCTGCCCTGAACCCCATGGAAAAAGAAGTCGATTACAGCCATGGCCTCAACTCCCAGGACCATCTGCTCCACCGGGTAGAAACCTTGGGGGATCCCAGAACATAGCGCTCGACATGCCATACCCGTGTTCCTACCTGAGGGATTCTGGAGCTGGCGACTTCAGGGGGATGCAACGTCTCAGAATTTCGGACCTTCTGATTCTGGGGTTCAGGCGTTGAAGTACCGCTTTGAGGCGCTTCAAACAAGAAGAGCAAGCATGAGCAGACACAGAAGTATATAATAGTGCGGCGCAGGGCACAGGTGCCTCTGCATGTCCCCAGAAAGTCGTAGTCATAGATTTATACAACTGCTTCAACTGCCCGAGGCTCGATCCATCCAACTCACCATCATTGGTGTTCGTGGGCAGGGAGCCGCCATCGTTGGTGTCAAATCGCCACGTGTTGGCACCCTGGATGGGCAGGACCTTGAAGCAGCTGATGATTGAAGGTCCATGATCCCCATTATTCCGGCCCTATGACTACGTGGGCTGTGACGCGTGCTGTGACCCCAGCCGTGGTGACCTGGTAGCTCTACGTACCGTCTACGCAAAGTAAGGCTCTGGCCCACATGATGATGGTGTACGGTGTGTCTGCCTGCAAGCATCTGAAGCTGGTCTTGGCCAAGATACGGCATTATCAGCGAAAAAGGCAGCGCACGATGCCAGCCTGCAAAGCCACTTCAGTAGCCGGCCGGCCAGGCTTGAGCGTTGCCTGCGGACATGCAACCTCTCACAAAAGTCTGGAACTTTGTCTGTGGCTTCTTAGATGTCTTTGCCTTCAGTGCATCCAACCCCACACTTAACGACTGCATTTTCTGTCACCGAGCTCACACCACAATGACGCTGGAACCATCCCTGAAGAAAGTACTCCCGGCGCACCCTGAGCGTACCGAAAGAGTCGATCTCCACCTGAGGAAGCAGACACTCTCCAAGCTTTGGCCAGACTTTGCAACAGAACATGGTGGACGATACAAGAAGAGCAGTTACTGGGACAGAGGTTAGCTGTTAGCTTTGGGACATGACCCTTGGGCCTCGGCAGGCCGTCTTTGGCTTTTCTTTGTAGAGTGTGCTTACAAGCCGAAAAATGCATACTTTCGCCGTAGGGGGGGAGGGGTCTATCCAATGCAGAGACAACTTCAAGCAGAATCCTGGGTGGCCCTGAAAAGCAGCACATGCGCTTTGGGATCTCCCCCCTTTATTTTATTGGCATCCAAAATCCCAACTGCAACTTATGAAAAGCAAGTTCAAGCCATCCCCCTGCAAGCCCTCAAGACTCGGGGGGGCGGGGGGGGGTGGTGTTTCAAAAAATGAGGTCCCTTTTGCTTTGGGTGACCCTTAAAAGAGGGATCACAGTATATCGGGATCTATATGGAAGTCCAATGGAAACTCCCAACACATCTGTCAAAACACGGGCTGCAACTGACATCCGTTACAAACAAATCTGGCCTGAATTGACTGAAGGACAACGTGAAGGAACCCACTTCTTTGAGGACACGGGGATGCTCCCTTTTGGCCGCTGCGCAAATGCAAGGGCGGGCGAAGTCACTAATTCGCTGGCAAAGTTCGACTGTGGAAGAGGGGGCTTCAAGTTGCTCTTGACCAAGATCCGTCACACGATTTCGCCTAGAGACACTGATGTTTGGTAGCCTCTGCTCCTATTGAAGATTGTTTCATGAGGATCTGCACATGTTCGA